TCCATTCATAAATAACAAAGTTAAACCAATCATAGATAAAAGAAAGCAAATATTTGACCTTGGAGGTCAAAGTTTTTATGTATCAAGGTCAAGTTCATTCTAGTCAACTTGAAGGTTATGTCAAAATGATTGATGTGCCCAAGTATGAAGAAAATCCATAAAGAAATAAAAAAAATAATGGCCAATGTAAAAATTACTGGACAGCAATGGGAACAGCAACCTAACTATAGTTAAATTTTTTAAATAATACTTGAAGTTTTTCTTTGAAAAAAGTCATTTTAAAACATATGAACATTGAAATCACATTCTCTATGTATCTTAGTAACTCCTGTCTCATTCATCATGTGTAACTAAGATTTTGTTTATATAAGAGTCTACCACAAAGTTTTTTTCATATTTGTAGGTATATGGACATTATCCAAAAACTATTATGTGTTTAACAATAAATACAAAAAGATATCTCATAGAACTGCATTTACTTTCTACTTACAGTCCAGTCATGAGTGAGACACCTTTTTTTTTGTTTATACAGAGTATTTTAGTTTGTGTTTGTGTAGGAAGCTATAAGCTTATAGACACACTTTCAAATCCATTCCTAGAACCAACCAGTATTGAGCTATGAGTGTAAAGTTTCTTGCCCAAGGAAACAACGACTTGCCCCTGACAGGGTTTTAACCTATGCAGCTAGCGATAATTAAATTACTAGTCTGATGTGTTGACCACTCGGCCATTTCGCCACTTTTTTCTTAGACAATTTGGTTGGCTACAATATTGTTAATACTATACTTTGATTGGATAAGTTTAATATATAACAAACAAACAAAGAAATTATAATTTTAAGTCAATTTTAATATGTGCTTGAATATTGCAACAGTAAATGAGCCTTTACAAATAAACTACACTTAGATAGGTAGGAAAACTTTTTTCAAAAATTAAAAAGTTAAATATAACCATCTTTGCATTGAAAATCTCAATATTTTTGTTAATGACTGGTACACTTGATATGAAATAAATGATAATTATTCGATGTATGAACATCATAACAATCATAATAGTGATGGATGCTAAATGATCTTGCACATTTCGAAATGTATATCAATGCAACTAGCCAATAAGAAGAGGCTGTATATATTATGCAATAGTATATATTTAACAAATCTATTCTTTTGCACCAATGACTTTGATCATAACCTAACTGACCTCTTGTAACACCTGAAGTTAAGTGTTTTTTGTACACAAGTACTATTAAGTTTTATATAGAGATATAATTGAACAAGAGGGTCATGATGGCCCTTGATCGCTCACCAGAAATATATTGCTAGAAAAAGTTGCCATTCTTAAATGCAGAAGTAAGCGATATTAGTTCAGATTTGGTAGGTCATTTTATACCGAAACTGCATAATTCCAGATACTTTAGGTTCACTACACACAGATACTTATACTGTTACTAAAGAAAATAATAAGCAAACGTGGCAGTGAAGACATTGAACACAGAAGCAGAGAAAGTGTAGCTGAAGATAGAGAAGAATACTTGCCTTTGAGAAGCACACAAAGTGTTTAGAAGAAATTTGCCTAGCAGACCTAGAAAGTTTCAGCTGATGGAGTCGAGACGGACTGGAGTGTTTCAGAGAGGAAAGGAAAAAAGTTTCTGAATCTTTTCATTTATTTAAGAGTTATTTTGACTCTCATTTATCCAAGTTTAAGAAGGCTATTTCTTCACAAAGCTTTAAGTCTAAGGATAAGAATGTAACTTTAAATAAAGAGTCTCATAAAATTCAGCACAAATTTACTTTGAAATTTTGGCAGGTCTAAAGTCTATGAGAAGCCTTCTCTTGCTAGGGGACAGCGATGATAAACGGAAACTATGACAGGCCGAATCTAAAGCAATTAAAAAAGGTTAAGACAGCTTCTTAAAAACAAGCTTGTTTTCATCCTTGTAAGGGTGATTCTTTTTCTTTCATGTATATATGTTCCAACTTCAATCAGATTTCTGAGACAAAACAAAATGTGTCTTTGAATCTGGGCATTTCGATCAATTATTCATTGGCCAACGCAACCTTTATCCGCTCTTTTTCCGTCAATAAATTAAAGTGAACCTGTTGCAGCCACTCTACATTGTCTTTCTTATTTATCTGTTAACCTTGAAGGATATTGATTAAGATGTTAAAGGATATATATGATTTATGTTTGACTAAATTGAATGAAGTTGTAACCAATATGTCTTCAATACTATTCGAACATAGCATGACACACTGACACAGGTGGAAGGATGGACAAAGTGGTAACTACATGCTCTCCATTTGAGGAGGTATTCTTTTAATCATTTTACTTGTAAAGTAATAAAATCATTGAATTTGTAACAATATACAGTTGACTCCAACCAATCAAAAAAGAAATTGTGTAACAATATTTAACTTTCAGTTTATTACAAGAGTCACATGAAATTTTAATACAAATTATATCCATTACAATAAATAAATGTTTAAGTCTTATTTGAGGAAATGACAGCAGGTGTATCATGAACAAGAAACTATCAATGCCATAAAACTAGGTTTTCAACAATAGCCACTCAAAGCAAAGGTCATACTCTTGGATTTTACTTAAAACCAAAAATGCTATATTTTGGGTTTATGTCATTCAAAGGTCAAGGTCAGATTTAAATTATTCAATATGACATTTTGGTTCTAAATATTGTTTTGTCCAAGTAAGAAATATTTTAATGATATGCCCCCTTCCCCCAACACAAAATGCTTGCTATATAACAAGTTTGATTATAATACCCAATTCCTGATTCTAGTTAATAGCCAGAAATCATTTTTCTTTTTTCAGAAACTGACTTGACCAAAGAGGACCAAAATCACTTTTAAGTGAGGTCTCAAAATAAGCATGTTATGTAGTACAATCAATCCACCAGAAACCATTTTCTATTTTTAGTAACAGTGACCTTGACCCTAGATGATCACAAAGCTTTCCTGTGTGAATTCTCCACATAAGATTGCTATATACCAAGTTTGATATTACTATCTGATACTTCAGTTATCAACCAGAAACAACCTATTTGATGCCATAATGCCCAACTGTGTGTCGCAAATCAAATAAGCAGTCCCTGTGTTCACTAAGAAAAGATCAGGATCAATTTATCCTGATTTTATATTTCAGTTATATTTAAAATATCTAATCTATGAGGATAAACAAGGGAGAATATTTCAATTTTTAAATTTTATCTTGATCCTGATCCTTGAATATATGTGAACACGGGGTCAGGATTTTCAAAACTTGAAAACCTGGTAAAAAACTGAACAATACAAAACAAATCTGATTAGAATATTTGAATGACATGATTTAAACAGGTAATAACAAATCAATAAATAAGTGAGTATAGACCCTGAATGAATGAAATACAATACAGTGACTATAAATATTTCACAAACAACACACAAAATATCCCTATTTGTAGAAAACAAAAATTATTTTCTTACTGATAATAAAGTCACGTATTACAAATACCATAACATGTTTCTATTAAAATAAACATCCCCTAGATCTGGAAAATGACTAACAATCTGTCAAATTTTTAGCAACTGTGACCTTGACCCTAAGGGCCCCAAAATGCAATTTGAAGGGAGGACTGTACATAAGCTTGCTATATATCAAGTTTGATTACAAATAAATGTATCTCATTCCTTAATCTAGTTATAGTCTGGAAACCATTTTTCTATTTTTAGTAACAGTGACCTTGACCCTAGGGAGCCCAAAAGCAATCCTTAGCAAGGTCTCTACATAAACTTACACATTTTTAATACCACTTAACCATTTCTAAAATATCCACTGGTAACATCTGTCTGAAAACAACTTCTGTAATAAACATCCCACCCTTTTCTCACACACATTTTGAAAGTATTATACTCCTACGGTTGTTTAATGAAAATTTCAGATGATATAATATGCAACAGAAATCATGTGGTACCAATGATAATTTTACCGTATGTGGATGGTTGTTTTTGTGTGTTTGTTTGTTGTTTGTTTTTTTTTTGGTTGGGTTTACATCGCATCAACACAGTATAGTACATGCAAATCAATGACAATACTTAACTAAGTAACAAAAGTTAACATGCTTAAAACAGACTTAACTTATGATTTTAAATATACATTAAGACACCAAGTGTACACATACAATATACTGCAAGCAATGTTACTTATGCAATTGGAAATATTTTACACATAACTAGGAATTTTCATGCCCCCATCTGCCAACTTAACAACACTGTCATAAAATAAGACTGTCACAAAAGGTTTAGGATAAGAAGTGTGGCAAGCAAGTTGGTCCCTACTATACATGTTTTTTTAATCTTCATCTGAAATTTTACCGCTTATGTGTGCCCAGGGACCTGAACTTTATGTGCAACACTCAGCCTCACAGCCAAGTTTTATAAAAATCCCTCAATGCATGTAGAGAAGTTTTGCTCTGTACAAGTGTTTTATAAAGAGATAGAAGTGCGACCTTGACTTTTGACCTGGTTCATGGTAGGGCACTACAACTCATGGAGGTGAACTATTCAATTATACTGTAACATTAAAATTCCTCTATGCTCTGGACAATATCTAGATATTTTGTGTTTAATCATCTCTAGTGACCTTGACCTTGCAAATATTGACCTACATACAGCCGTAGTCATGATGACAGCATCTCATTAGTAACTCTAGTTATTGACTGGAAACCATTTTTCTATTATTAGTAACAGTGACCTAGACTTTTGGGGCCCTTTAAGCAATCCAAAGTGAGGTCTCCACATAAGCTTGCCATATATAAAGTTTGATTAAAAAAACATTATCAAAATACTAATTCTAGTTTTCAGCTGGAAACAATAGGACCAACCAAATGCCTGGCAGACCAACAAGCTCACACCTACATAAACCCACTAAACTTTGTTCAAGGTATAATAAAGGTAAAATATACTATATGTAACAAGAAACTCACAATACATAACAAAAATATCAGGTGCTATTTCATAATTATACAATATTTATATATAAGAAATATTTACATACAATAGACCACATAATATTAGTTATGACTTTATACAATATAATATTTCAACAACATTAATTCACGATCACAGATAAGCGTATTTCTTCATCTTAAATAGAAAATTCTCTTCAAATTCGCTATTCAACAAGACAGCCAAGATCCCTTGCCCTAGATCCATTTATTGGCATCAGATTTGATGACACAAGAACAATGATAATTTAGTGTCAACTTATTATTTCTGTTTGATTGTCATAAAAGCTTTGTTTATTCAACAAACCAGGTATTATATGATTTTATATGAAAAGTCATTTGGTTGTGACTCCAGCTTGACTTTGGTTGTCAGAGGAAGAAAACTTGATAGTCACATTAATAACGATCATTACTCACAGAAAACATCATCACATATAAGTATACTGGTTAACAAATAATTAAATAGGTATAAAGTGGTACCAATCTCATTCCCGTTGATCTATTTGTGTGTCCAAAGAGGGTCAAGGGCACTAAAAGGGTCATTTGGGTCCTGCTCAGTTACTGTTTTTTTCTCTCCAGTAAAATCTGCCTTTGATATTTTCTTTTTACAGCCTTCACTAGTTCCTATCGTAAATTTTGTAGGATCCTGTAATTCAGCTAGAGTAGAAGAAATATTTTCAGGTTTTGGGCTGCTTGAAACCTCACGACCACTGTGAGCTGGTGACCCAAAAGGTGACGGCGACTTGGAACCCTTTGAATCTAAACTCTTCAGGGAAGATATTGATCCTTTTTCAACTAATTTTGTAAGGCCAAGGTCAACAGTCTGTCCTTGACCTTTGACCTTATCCTCAATCTTCCCAAGGTCACTTGGTATGTTTTGTTCGTATAGAGCAGAATCTGTCACTGAATCTATTGATTTAATCTCTAAATTAATTCCAGGGCTCTGAACAACGTCAGGAAGGAGATTTCCACTAACACTTGACATCACATGACCTTCAGGTATTAGTTTTTCCTCTTTGGTGACCTCCTTCGATGCATCTTCCTTTATATCGTGAATTTCTCCTTTTTTCAACATTTCCAATTTTTGGTCAATATTTAAACTGTGGGAGTCAGTTTTCGAGCTCATTTTCGAAATGCTACTTTGCAAGTTTGTGAAACTAACAGAGCCAAACAAAATATCCTGTCCTGGTTCCCATCCTATTGATTTGGCTCCTGGTTTTGGCAGTCCATCACCAAAAGAAGCTTTATGCACCAAAATTCCCTCTGAAAATAAAATGAATTCATATTTCAGAAAAAATCTAATATTTACTTAACAGATAAAGAAAATTATTTAATATGTAAGAATACCATGTGCCACCACCTCAGTACAAGTATTACACATTGATGGCTTCAGTGGAAAATAGAATTTCCTTCCTTATTTCCATGAAACATATAACTGGTCAGCAACAAATTAAATAATATGACATGATTGTATTTTGATCCAAATGATTTCATAATCTTTCTTTGTAGGTTGTGAAAAGAAAAATCATACATGTACAAGGCCCCTAATTGGAAATTTGATTACGGTAAATTTTGTACAAAGAAGGAAAATTAAAACTAGTGCAATCTGCTTCTGAAAGTGACCTAAAAGTAAACCAAGAGAGACATAATGGCCCAGAGAACAATTTTATCATATAACGGTCATTGCTGTACAATTTCATCATAGTAGATGAGGACAAGAAGGCGTTTAAAGGGTTTTTCTGTTTTTAGCTCTGGCAGCTATTTTGTTTCGCAAACTAAAACGACTTTAGCAAGGACCACCTAAGGATCATTTCTGTAGTTTTCATCAAAACCTAAAAAATGACTGAGGGAAAGATATCAGTAAGGGGGGGGGGAGGAATAAGGAAGAACGAGGAATAAATTATGATAAATAAGCTGTACCTTTAGCTAGGACATCCTGGGCATAATATAGTATTGCCTCGTAACAATATTTAAGCTGATCTTGTTTTTGGATGATATATCTTCTTCGCCACAACATTTTCCCTCCAACTTCCTGTATGTTAATTATCCCATCTCCATGGTTAATCTCTTGCATACCTACGTATATCAGTATAAACATTCCAGATCGACCAACACCATTTCTACAAAAAGAAAGAGATGAAAATTCTACTTAATTAGCTTTAAAAATTCATTTTGTTATAGGAGTAGGATTCTATATTGGTCATATGCAAATTTTACAACATTAAATGGAAAAAAACATAAGAAATAGAGGATATTGATCGAGTGTAGGTTCAATCCTGAATTTATTGTACAAGTTGAATAAAGTTATATCGTGGTGCCTCTGGCCATTTTATATAACAAGTTCAATAAATAACTATAATGAATCTAGATGAATACAATATTCTATTTATCACATATCCATAATAAGAAAAAACTGTTTACAGTAAAACAGAATTGATACATTTTGAATGCCTGATATCAATGACAACCAGTTTCAAAAATCAATGTCAAAGTTGGAAATGGTTAGGAAAGCAGTTGATAATATTTTCAACATTTATCTACAAAAAGAAGTAAAAACAATTGATTAAAACAAGATACGTGTATTTTTTATACGTACCCACAGTGAACAACTATAGGCTTCATCAAACTTCTCTGTTGTCGGTAAAAACTATGAACCTCTGTGATAAACTGAAGTATATGGGACACCTTGTCTGGAAACCCACTACAAATATACAATAAATACAAAATTTGTGAACCATTATTATAAAGCATAAGGAAACTTCTGAATTATAGAAACCCAACTAATAAACAAGAGTATAGGTAAGGTCAGGCAATATAAGCATGAATGAAAATCTGTTTGAGTTATCAAAAATAATCTCTCAAATAGGGAAGAGACACATTAATGAACTTGACCAAGAATTGTTTTACATAATTATTCTTATAATACTAAATGTCCACCAGGGTGGAAACACTTTTGACCCAAGTGAATGATTTATAAAACTTTTGTAATGCTCTAAAGGGTAATGCTGTATGCCTTGTTTCAATTCAAATGATACAAACTAATACATAATTTTGAAATTCAAACATACTGACTCTTGACCTTAAGAAAGTCCTGCTCTCTGAACATTGTCTTATTATGATTAAGATTTCTGCCAAGTATATATGCAGTTACAATTTCCTTCCATCGATTCAATTGTTATGGAGTCGACATGAAATCGCTAACAGACGGATGGATGGATGTCCAGGAGCATAACAATATACTCAGGGATAAATATGAGTCTAGCCCTTAATAAATTGATGTCAATGCAGTCATCAAATTTAACACTGGCTCTGTGGTCCATGGCCAGTGAAAATTAGTTCGGACCAGAGTAAATTTTAAGAAAATTCAGTTAAATATATAGTAGAATAAATTCAAAACTGGAATTCGGACCAGTAAATTCAAAATCTTAAATTCAAAGACCGGTCAATGTAAATGCCAAACTAAATTCTTATCTTTGCAGCAACATTCACTGGCAAAACTGAGATTTTGTGATAGGTCAGGATAAGAGAAAAGCAACATAAATTTCTGATAAAATGCAACAGTTCTGTAAAGGTGATAAAATGCAACAGTTCTGTAAAGTTGATAAAATGCAACAGTTCTGTAAAGGTGATAACATGCAACAGTTCTGTAAAGTTGATAAAATGCAACAGTTCTGTAAAGGTAAATATCTGCTATCATAGCTTAGCAGTATTCAATCTTCAGCAAAACAAGTTTTGAAATTTCTGATTCCAATCGAATGGAAACATGGCGTTTTTTTACAACTACAGGTACCATACAGAAATCCAATTTATAAATTGTAAAAAAAAAAACCCTGATATAATCTCACCTTACAGGCCATGCACTATAGTGTAAATGTACCAGTGTTCTCCCACTACGAGTCTGAAAATAAAATTTCATAAAAACTTTTAATGTCTTTAATAAGTGATTTCTTTTAAAAAACAATTTAATATCTGCGAGCGAAAATAATTTTAATGATAGCTTTCAGCAAGTGAAGAAAGCAAATTAGATAAGTATTTGCAATAAATGTTTATTTAATGGTGTTCAAAATTGCATTTATTAAATTTGAATACAGGATATTATTTAGACAACACTTTCATAGCCTCACATCAGCTGTCTGAGTAGTAGTGTCCTAATTTTCTCAGTGCTGGATAGAATGATAAAAGCAAAATAGAAAAGGGGGCATAATTTTCAAAGTGAAGTAAGCACAGGTCTAGTCCTGGGTCTATATTGGTGACATTGGCCTAGTCCTGGGTCTATACTGGTGACATTGGCCTAGTCATGGCTCTATACTGGTGTCATTGGCCCAGTCCTGGTCTATATTGGTGACATTGGCCTAGTCCTTGTCTATATTGGTGACATTGGCCTAGTCCTGGCTCTATACTGGTGACATTGGCCTAGTCCTGGCTTTATACTGGTGACATTGGCCTAGTCCTGGCTCTATACTGGTGACATTGGCCTAGTCCTGGCTCTATATTGGTGACATTGGCCTAGTCCTTGTCTATATTGGTGACATTGGCCTAGTCCTGGCTCTATACTGGGGACATTGGCCTAGTCCTGGTCTATATTGGTGACACTGGCCTAGTCCTGACTCTATACTGGTGACACTGGCCTAGTCCTGACTCTATACTGGTGACATTTGCCTAGTCCTTACTCTATACTGGTGACATTGGCCAAGTCCTAGCTCTTTAATGAAGACATTGGCGATTTGTTACTACTAAAATTTATATAGTTAATGAATTTACCTCAGCATGTCTAAGATGCAGAATCCGTTCTGTCCAGAACTGTTTGTTTTTTATACTCTGTACAGTTAACTGAACTGCTCCATGCTCTATTGTCACACCTTTCTCTTCTGGTAAATACGCTGGGAATTTCTATAAATATCACACAGGAATAATACAGTTGTAAAATATCTACAATTCTACAGCCATTCTAAATAGGGATATGATTTTATCAGTATTAAGTTGCAGAATTTCTTAAGCTCTTCTTCAACATAAAATAAGGATGTAGGTTTTATAATATTTTTCTTTGATTTTACCCTTACCACTACTTCCACAACAACTAGAATTGTAAATTTGTTAATACTGTCTTCAATTTATGGAATTCAAAAGTAACACATATTATTGTGAAGAAGTTCACAGATGTGGATCAATGTTTTCAAGTAATTTCATGTGCATGTAATCTAATGTCACTGAATATTAGACTTTATACAGAGAATGAATTTATTTCAAACATCACAGCAATTAAGACTAAACAAGTGGACTCTTTGCACAATAGACATACTCCAGAATTAAGAATATATTTGGTTTTGCCAGCTAATCTGCGGTAACAAACAAACTTTTAAAGTTACAGCTTCGAAAATGTGCGCAATAGGTTAACTTATTTATTGTAAATGGTAGTGCACCCTGAAGCTATAATAGTAAAAGTGTGATTAGCTTGGAAAACCCCACTTTTGCCAAGTTCCGGATTACAACAGCTATTCAATGACATTATCTGTAAGCATAAATTTTCTTTCAATTTTAAAATGATAATTCCATAATTTAAATCCGAATTATATTTCCTCATAATCCAACACAATTCAATACTCATGCCCCTAGACAATCTTACAATATTCTACATACCTTTCCAGTCTCAATTTCGCTAGATAAGGCAACAAGAACCTCGACACCCTGTTCAGACACCATTTGCCAGAAATCTATCAGTGTAACAGGTAACGGGGCTTGTGTGGCAATAAACTTTGGACATGATGGAGAAAGATCCTGCAATATAAAGATATAGATATGATCAAGACCTGGCCACGGACAGCAGGCTCCACTTTTCTCACTGCTGGATAGTACATAAATACAACATAGGAAAGGAGGTATAATTCTGAAAACTTGTTTAAAAATTTAGAACTTAAACTTTCAAGTTTGCGGGCGGCAACACTAACACAAACATTGTCATAATACCTTTATTTTGTTTCTTTGAAAAAAAGTTGAGCTTAAAAATTATGACTAATGTTAAAGTTTCTGGATGGAAACAGGAACAAAACAACCTTATTTTAGCAATAGCTCATGTTTTTTAGAAAAAGTCAAGCTAAAAAACAAAGCAATGTTTATATGTTTACATTTCTTCTGACAACCAATAAGAGCTTGTACAGTCAAACTTGTATTAAGCGACCGCGCAAGGGAAACATCCAAAACGGTCGCTTAATGAAATGGTCTCTTAAGACAAAGCATGACATAAAAGTCAAAATTTACCAATGACATCTTTCTTATGCGGTGGGAATGTCAAACAACTTCATTTTATATAAGTGTTGAATAATTAGTACGCTCGATAATCTAAATGGATGCCAATGTAAAAAATAACTTTCTGTTATTTATTGACGAAACATTTGTGATCCATTTCGTACATGTTTGACATTTTTTCCCGAATTGTTTAACTTCTCAGTTGTTTTTCCTTGTCTCCAACACAAAAACCCTACTAGTGAAGACGTTTTTCTGTTGTGCATTTTTCACTCGAAATAAACAAACTTGCTGATCAAGTTCAAGGTCAATTCAATGCAGTCTAAATGTCAACAAAGCGAAGTGTATACACCACATCAGTAGGGGCGGAGCGTTGCATTGTTTAATCGATATTATTGGATAATACACGTCACGGGTATACTTAACTTCATTTACTTACGCTTAAACGGTTTGGGAAATAGAGTTTTTCACACATTTATTTGTTGTGTTTTGATTGTTGACACTTAGGACATTACGAGGCGGCGTTCTCTAAAAACACAATTACTTGACAGGTTAAAGTGGTCGTTTAATGAAAAGATTGCTCTCAATTACGTGATTTATTAGCGGTCGCTGGTCGCGTTGAGCAAAAGTCGCTTAATACATTAAAAATATAGAGTGAAAATGATCGGGGGGAATATAAAGTGGTCGTTTAAGACAAAAGTCGCTTAATACACGTGGTCGCATGGGCAAGTTAGACTGTATTTATATTTTCACAAACATTATGTCCAAGATTAGCTTCAATATAAATAAGAAACTTACGTTGATCCAACTTGCATTGATGTAATCATCTTTTAAAGTTGTTAATAACACTCTTGAATCATCATCTGAATGAAAAGAAAACATTAAAATACAAGACAGCCATGATTGCCCTTATTTCGCTCACCTAATTATTGAGACTTTTAATGACAAGGAACATAAATATTGTTAACTATGAACGAAAAGCAGATATAACTAGAGGTAAACTTGACAATTTTTAATGCTTTTAATATCAAAGCTCTAGCTTTTGTAGTTTTAAAGGAAAATATTTACAAACAAATTTTGCTATATGTTTACAGGGAAATCCCATGATCTCCTCCCCTGAGGCTCGGCCAATATTGACCAAGAACTAGTCATAGTCAATGTTATATTCCAAATACCTAAGCCCTAGCCCTTGTAAAAAAGCAAACATTTGTTTTTTATTTACACTTACAAGGCATAATATCTTGATCCCTGTTTTTCATTGGATAACATCTAGCTATAGCCAGTTTCTGCCGTCTCCCAGCTCTGTCTTGTTCCTCCATCATTTCCTACAACAAGAAAATGTGTGTGATAAACAAACTTTCATACACCAGTGGGGGAATTTGACACATTTTCTGGGGAAAAAAAAGATAGTTATTCAGCTTGAGGAAGTAGCCGGATACATGCTACAGCAAAGAAATATATAAGAATTTTGCCAGGACATCAATAAGAGTTCCTAGTTTTGTGTGTCTTTTGACTTCAGGGGGACAAACTTGGTGAAAACCTGAAGAATTGGACAGGACACTTTTCAACATTTATGCTTCGTTTTGAAGCAAAAAACAAAATCAGATGACAAACAAAATCTCTAGTTATTGCAAGCATACTAACTTACCTTCCACACTACGTCTAAAGGAGTAGGTCCACTACATAGTGGTTTCTCAAATCCTTCAATAAATTTGGCAAGTTTTTCCACCTCTGCCACAAACTTATCTAATTTAGGTTTATCCTTATATGGGTCTTTAGGTGGAATCTGACAACTGGAGTTTTTCAATTGGTCTTCTTTCTGTTGCTGGATCTCCTGTGCAGTTAATACCTAGATAAACAAGAATAATAATATCTGTCACATGCTGCGGTTCGGATAGGAATATCGGTCTAGAGGGGACTAGTCCATTCTGCGGTAACGAAGCATTTGTTAGATGTCTTTTCTAGCATATTCTACCATAATCTATCACACTTTTTATGCTTTACCAAAATAAAACAATTTTTCATGGAAATCAATGTCATTGAATCTCAGTCTATTTTCTTACAATAGCTTATAAATTTACAACCTTATTCATAACGGTGAAATGACATCATCAAAGGCATACATTTTAATTCTTTATCACACACCCGTGCCGATTTTGCGACTCCGTAAATATGGTATTGCACGGCCGTGCATATATATTGACGTGACGTCATTAGCGTTATACAAACATAGTGTAAAGACGCGCTAAATGTTATCGTTATACTATAGGCGCGTCAATGAAAAATGACTTATTTCACTTTAAACGGTCTTTATTTTTGGTATGTGATAAATAGAATATTAAATTCGTGTAAGTTCATTACTGAATTAATTGCACTCGTTGAATAAAATAATATTATGCTCGCCAGAGGCTCGCAAAATATAATTTTATTTAACTCGTGCAATAAATTCAGTATTGAACTTACACTCATTCAATATCCTCTATTTAATGTGCTGAAAAGACATCATTTTAATGTGCTTCATTCGTAAAATACAATTCAACTGTAGGTCTTGTAAATTTTGAGGAAAAGCCTTTAAAGATAATTTTACTATAAAATCAAGTGCACCCCGGGCTCATCTAATTTCGATTCCAGGGGCATGATTAATATAACTTTTCTAGAGGTTCACTTGAAAATGCTACAAACCAAATATCTAAGCTCTGGGAATTGTATTTTTTAAGATCTTATATTTAAGGTTTTTTTTAGTTCCTGTCTGTAGGTCACAGTCACTGTGACCTACTTATACATCATAAAGGAACTGTTTATATAATTTTTGTAGAGGAACACCTACTGGTAAGGATCATTCCTGTAAAGTTTGGTCAAAATCCATCCAGTGAATTATTGGGGTATGTTGTTTACAGAAATTGTGGAAAAAGAAGGCACTACCATCACAAAAGCTCACCTCTAAACACATTGTGCTCAGAAGAGCTAAAAAGATAGTCTTGTCCAAAATATGGATCTAAGGGCATATGAATTTTCACAATGATAGGTCTTGCTTTAACCTTTATCTAATCTGTATAAAGGCACTAAAATTTATCAACTTGATGCCAATGTTCTTAAACCTGTTTTTTTTTTTAACTATAAAAAAAGTTCTTTTTATGGCTTACCTTTGGTGCTAAAACACTATTTACAGATTCCGTTCTTGCATCTGGACTTGATGAGAGTATTTCATCTAATGATGAAGCTGTCGACAGCTGTCTGTCGACAGGAACTGGTCTGCTCGCCGAGTGTTGTGGTATCTGTCTCGGATGTTGAGATGGCTTCACTTCCATTGGTGAACTTGGTCTTACAGTTATATCTGAAAGTTGTCATACATCTATGTTTAATAAATTAAAAATAAACCAAAAAAATCATACATATTATCAGGGCTGGCAAAATCTGATTTTGACTTACTTGTCCATTTTGTCTGAAGCATTTTTTTACTTGTCCGCATAATATTTATAAAGTAAATTCTGGGAAAAATTCACTTGTCTGAACAGGCTGTGGGCAATACGGACAATTGATTCTACCATCCCTAAAGGATTTTTGATACATATGACATGGATATAAACAAAGTCCAAACTTCCCCTTATTTTAATCATTTTGTTCTTGTAGGGGAACCTTAAAGTAGGCAAAGTAAAGTTATTGTTCTTGCACATTGCACTTCCTGCCAATGTTCTGTGCTAGAGTATAAGTTTGAAGAAAATCTCTCAAGTACTTTAGGAGTTAAGCTCAATAAAATTTGCTTCAACAAAGTTTTTCAAGTAAATCTAATAAAGGGGAATAACTCTAAAAGAAGGCAAGGAAGAGTTATTGTACTTACACAATGCATTTGTGCTCCTAATGTGCTCGGTCAGTGTATGAAGTTTAAAGAAAATCACTCAAGTATTTTGCAGTTATGCTATGGACAAAATGCCGATGGACAGCTATGCACACACTGTATGAGACCATTTCTTATATCCCCTTCATTTTTTTACTTTTCACAAGTAATTTTAATATTAAGTTTGGTGCTCTAAATTTCAAAGAAAAAAATACCCCCGCCCCCAAATAAAAAACAACCGATTCTAATTATACAAAAGTATTCTCAAAATATTACTAGATCAGTAAAATTCTTTTAGTTTTTATTTGCTGACACATATACGAGGGATGATCAAAAATTACCCGGACTTTGTAGATCATTCTTTGCCTGTTAAAAGCATTTACATAAAAACACATGGAACATAAATCGGAATCTATCCCCTAAATGATACAAAAAATACCAACATGAAATATTAACAAATAAAAAAGTTATGCTGTTATTGGCATGCACATGTAAAGCAATGCGGCGCACGGTATAACTTTAAAATTGACGTTAACGACGTCACAAGCGTATTGTCTTTAACGGAGCAGCTTTTTACTCATTCACGAAGTAGGCCAATACGTGTTCCACATGTTGTTGATGGCGGCGGATCGACTGCCTATATATATCTCTGTACAAGTCGGTATCATATTGTATTGTAATAGAATGGATGATGATAAAGAGCTCCTGTAATGACGCAAACTTCTGTTATTTCCTTCTGTAACTTGATTGCTGGACAAATCGCACATGCAATAAACAATATTATGTCTTTCATTGATACAATGTTTCTGAATGATAATATATCATGCATACATTCGAGAAAATAAAAAATAATACAACTAAGAACAAAATTGCTATTAATAAAACGCATAATCGATTTTGAACCCTGACTGTTAAATTGTTGACACAAGTTCTCCATTAGACTCTTACGTAAAAGAATAAAATAATTTATACAATTGTGAACCAAAAATATGATATATGTAATTAATACATAAGCAATTATCATTTCAAAACCCTCAATGTTGACTGAACCGTCTCTTAGCTACTGTCGAACATAGTTGACAATTTCCGCAGTCAATCGACTGTCATTTTTGAACGTCTGGGCGATTGACGTCACCAATGTCCTTGAATTTTTTTTCTTATTTGCCTTTCCATAACTTGTTTTCCAATTCTCTATTACTCTTTCTTAATCATTATGCTTATCAAAAACTATGTTATGGCTTTTTGGATCTTTTCCCTTGGTAGCCATAATATTTTTTTTTTCGATTTAAACAGTTTCTCGCCTTACTTTTGACATAATTTTCTTATTGATCGATTTTCGAGACATTCGGATGACAAACTTTTAGCGCAAGTTTTTCTTTAACAAGTGACGTTTGAATTGTGATTGCAAATATAAATATGGTTTAAATGAATTCAAGTTTTCTGACAACGTCAAAGATACGGCATATGACGTTTTGACGTATTTTAAAATCTAACAAGAGCTGTCCGTAAGACAGCGCGCTCGACTTTTTTATTGCTTGCCAATAAAAAAAGTTTTTGCAGTAAAAGGCAATACAAGAATCTCTGTATTTTTAAAGTGAACAATGTCCACCAATCAAATAGGCGAGATAAAATGTGAAATATGCATATACTACTGATTTTAATTTCAAGTACAAAAAGAGAAAAATAACTAGTTGTTTGATACCCTTGAATATTACAGCAATGTTTATATGACATAATTTATGGTAAAGTGAACAAGTGGATAGGAATGAATTTTTTTAGATTTTTTAAGTTTTTTAGTGCTTGCCTATAATACAAAACATTGACAGTTAAGGGCCATAATTCAAATAAAATCTTTGACAGAATTACCTTCTCCTGGACATGTTTGGGAATCATGATTGTAAACAAGTATTCCAACTTTCAAATTAATATCTCAAACAGTTCAGTCAAAAAGTGGACTGGTACTAAAAACTTAACCAAGATTCTAAGTCGATAAAAGGCCTTAATTTTTAAAACAAATCCTTGACAGAGTTACCTTCTCTTGCGTACAGATGGGGGTAATGATGTGAAATAGCATTAAAAAGTTTCAAAGCAATATCTCAAAGGGTTAAGGCAATAAGTGGATTTTACCCATATTCAATGTATTTTCTAAGTCAAAAAGGGGCATAATTCTGTCAAAAACCTTGACAGAGTTATGTCCTCTTGTCTGTTGATGAAGGTCGTGATGGTAAAACAAGTATGGTCAGTTTCAAAGCAATACCTCCAATGGTTTTGAAATAAAGTGAGGTGGTACAAAAAAACTTAACCAAGCTCAATACACTTTCTAAGTCAAAAAAGGGCCATAATTCTGTCAAAAACCTTGACAGAGTTATGTACTCTTGTCTGTAGATGGAGGTTATGATGGTGAACAAGTATGGTAAGTTTCAAAGCCATACTTGTAATACTTCTGAAATAAAGTGGGGTGGTACGAAAAACTTAACCAAGTGTGACGCCGACGCCGACGCCGGGGCGAGTAGGATAGCTCCCCTTTTCATAGAAAAGTCGAGCTAAAAACGCCATATTGTAAAATATACCCATCATATAGCGCCTGATGTCAGCGCAAATTTACGCACTGCGCCGGGTGTGCGTTACCATGGTTTTTAAATTCGCTGTTACGGACAAGCTATTTGCGATATCAGATTAGATATAGCATCAGTTTACAGATATTGTTTTCCGATTAAGTGTGATACATAACAATAAGTGATATGATGAAAATTGTTCAATTGACAGTCCCAGTCCTGTTTATTTTTGATCATCCCTCGTACATGTACATTTTACAAAATATGTTTCCTATGTCTCCTATTAGCTATGCTAAAAATTATGGAGTTGTAATATTAGAATGCATAAATCAAATATCAAAATGAAATTTCCCTTTGATTTTTTAAAAAGGGCCTGGTTGGGGTTTAAAATTTTGGAAATGATTGGGTTTTTTTGGTTTTTTGTTTTGTCCTTGTTTGGTGGGTTTCCAGGCAATTTTTTTCACACCCTGGTAACCTTGTGAGACTGGTTGCTGTTGACTTTGGACTGGCTGCTGTTGAAGGGCAGGTTTTAAGATTTGATCTTGACCTTGATTTGATGAACTAAAATTTTGCTGGGGTTGTAGACTGCCTACACTTGATGGAATAGGTGGTTTATAAACTTGTGGCTGTAAAGTAAGTCCTTGTTGCTGATGTTGCTGTTCTTGGGACAAGGGACCAGGCTGAATATACTGACTGGTTCCTTGACCATATTGAGAAAGATTATTAATTTGTCCTTGTTGTCCATACGGGAGCTGAGGCACAGTCTGGTCAAAACCACTTTGTATTTGTTGTTTATTAACAGTTACTTGCTCTTGTTGCTGTCTTAATTGAACAGGTTGCCCTTGGGTATATACTTGCTGGGGTTGACTGGTTGAAAACTGGGTTTGTGAATAGCCTTGTGACATCTGACTGACTGGTATAGGACCAATCTGTTGACTTTGACTTGTCATTCCTTGTGCAATAAGGTTCTGAGTTATTTCTATTTCACAAGGTTTTTTCTAAATAACCTGGTATTTTGTACTCCGGAGCTGAAGAATTTTCCCATATTTTTGACTGGGAAATTTAAATGACTTTGCTCAAAAAAGGGTTTGGGGGCTTGTGACAAAATTTAAACTGCCCTTTGGGAGAACTGTCCTTGGTCAGAGTTGCCTGTTTTTGGGAAAAAAAAAGGGGGCCGGGAAATTTTAAATGAATCCCCCAACAGCCGGGAACTCAAACCATTAACTGAGGCTGCATTCCACTTTGTTGAGGCTGGGGTGTTATGCTCATTTGCTGACCTCTGTATTGCTGACCTGGTAAATTTTGCTGAGATGAATTAGTAATTGCAGCAGAATTGGCAGGAGAGGAATGACCTGGCTGCATGACAAACTGACCTTGCTGTAACTGAGGCTGTATAAATTGTTGACCTTGAAAAGGTGCTTGCTGACCACTGTTTAATGACACTGGTAAATTTTGTTGTTGTGCCAATGAAGAGCTTGGTGTAGAAAACTGTGGACCTGAACTGGCAGGAGATGAGTACTGTGTTTGAGAAAAATTCTTTTGTTTAGGTTGCTGGGAAGTCTGTATGTTTTGCTGTACTACTGGTTGCCACGCAACAGCTTGTGAACCAGATGCACTGACTGACCCAGAATATCCTGTCTGGACTTGGCTTGATTGTGGAACTTGATTTAATCTTGGTTGATAATTCTGAGGCTGTTGTGGTATATTTTGTTGTGCAGCAATTTGCTGTTGTGCCTGTGGTACACTTGTGACTGGATGCTGTCCAGCCTGATTCATTAATTGATTCTGATGACCTATTTGACCTTGACCATGTGGATATTGCTGAAAAGCTTGCTGTGGCTGACCTTGTAAATGTTGATCTTGATTAAACGGTACTGTTTGTCCTTGATCATAATTACCTTGATTCCCTTGTTGATGGAAACCTTGAACAACAGCCTGCATGTTTTGACTGTGACTAGATACTGGTAAGGGCTGGTTGTACTGGGGCTGGCTATATTGACCTTGATGTGACCCCTGCTGTAAAACCTGACCTTGACCGGGTTGTTGTTGGGGAACATACGGTCTCATTTGACCCTGACCTATCTGTTGCTGCTGTACATTTGGTGGAAGGGTTTGAGTTTGTTGTGAAGAAGGTAGAATAGATTTACCTTGATCCATATGTGGAGTAGGTTGAAATTTAGGACCTTGACCTTCTGGCTGTTGCTGGGGAACAGACTGAAAACTCTGTCCCATATCTTGTTGTGGTTGACCAGTTTGTTGGCTGAAAGACTGATTGGTCCTTGTGTTAGAGTGCTGACTTTGTTCAGGATGCTGAAATTGTGTATTTAGACCAGGTTGAGCATGAAATGACTGACTTGAAGGTTGCTGCACTTGCTGATGAACAGATTGTGTATGTCGTGGTACTTGTGGAGATTGTGCTTGCCTGTTAACTTGTCCACTGCTATATCTTTGTGAACTTGTATGTTCTTGACCTTGACCCGGATAGTAACCAAACTGCTGTTGTCCTTGGGATACAAGGTTACCTTGAGGAATATTTCTGTAGTTTTCATTCTCATTTCCAGGAGAAAGCACTGGGCCACTGACTGATGAAACAGTGTTAGTGATATCCCTTGTATAAGACATTGAAGAAGGAGGTATAGCGTCTGCCATTTGTGATAAACCCAGATTACCAGGTACACTCTGTACAGGTTGATGAGGCGAAAACATCTGTGCCTGGTTTGTTTGTATCTGTCCTTGGTTTCCAGGCTGAGGTGCTAATGTAACATTTTGACCTTGATTTTGATATGCCCCTTGTTGCCCATATGTAAAATCTTGACTTGCAGATGGTAAATTCTGGGCATAGAAATTCTGCTGATTTTGATTCATAGCCGACTGCTGTGGTATATGTGTTGGCAAGCCTCGACCAGCACTGGGCTTCAGCGACCTTGAAACAACTGGTCTTTGATCTTGTGGTGTATAAGCTGACAGAGGAGTCACTGGTTTGTCTTTTTTCCATCTCTGATCTAAGGGAACATAGTCAGATTGTGAGGATGGTGGTTGTGAAATATCTAGCTCACCTGGCATTTGACCATAATCTCTATATCCTTCTAGCCCTTGACCTATTTGTCCTTGGTAAAAAGATTCAGGTTCATATACAGTTTGATCAGTGATATTTTGAGACAAGTTTTTTCCAATCCCTCTGGCAGTTTGACCTTCATCCGAAGGTAGGCCAGGCTGATACAGATGTCCTTGAGTGAGGTAAGAATCTTGTTGCCCAGGTACAGCTCTTGATGTGGCTTGATAATTTGGACCAAGCCTTCCATCAAATTTATGCCTGAAATTCATTGAATACATATATTCTAAATAACATTATCTGATAACATAACAAGAGCACCACATATGCAGGGCAATACACACCAAAATGCAAATTAATTTTAAGTAATCAACACTAATCTTTAAATTAGTTAGGAGATCCATTTATTCAGTGTCACAGGTAGAACTCATCAAGGCAAAATCAATTATGAAGTTTCATTGTTATGGCATTATACGTTTTGAAGTTAATGATCATAAACAAATTCTTAACCAAAAAGGTGGGGTATGATAATACCTCCATTTTTTTCTCTCAAAAAGTGGAGCTAAGAAATAGCTTTGAATAGTCTGAAAATTCTAATCAGGGTCATCAAATTAGGGTCCCAAGGTGATGTTGCATGCAAAACATCTACCATCTGACATATTATCTGAGGAGATTTTAAAGATTCTATTTTTGAAGACTATTTTTAACTCCTGTGACCTACTCATGCATCAGACTGGAATCATTTATAGAATTTTTGGCTAAAAATCAACAAATGAGCTGCGTCATGACAAAACCATCGTAATGCGTTTGCGACCAGCATGGATCCAGACCAGCCTGCGCATCCGCGCAGTCTAATCAGGATCCATGCTGTTCGCTTACAAACCCTATTACAAGTAGAGAAACTGATAGTGAACAGCATGGATCCCGATCAGACTGTGTGGATGCGCAGACTGGTCTGGATCCATGCTGGTCGCAAATGCACTATGTTGGTTTTGTTGTGACGCAGCTCAAATGATGTAATCATACTTTACCTAACATGGTCTGGACTAGCTGGCACACTGCTGGGCATAGGAGGTATATGTACAGGGGAAGCTGTACCACTACCAGGCAGGGAACCACCTTGTGACACAAAATCTTGTACATTAGGATGAGCTTTAGAAATGGGTGGGGAACCATCCTTCTTCCCAAATGTTTTAGGCTGAAATGAGATTGTGTTTTGTTTAATACTTCATGATAGCTCCTTCATACAACAATCTTTGCAAAAGTTGGCTTAAACACAATGTTTAATGAACTTACCCTTAAAACAACAAAATAAATATCATCTTCCAAAATCATGACCAATAAAATACCTTAGTAAGTATTTATTTTAAAATTTCAAAGAAAACTATCTTCATAAATGATCATCTATTTCATAAAAAAATGTTGCAAAATTCACACATACAATTTAATTTTCAATATTTTTTTTTATAACTCAAGTTCAATTCAATCTTTTGAAGTTTTGCAATATTCATATAAGGAAAACAAAGACCCGCACCCCCACTTCCCCTGGGCAGGTGAAGTTTTGACACACTGGCCATAACTTGAAAATTCTTGGTCAAGATCCATTAGACGAAGTTTTATGACAAATATCTAAGCTCCAGCCCTTGTGGTTCCGGTGAAGAAGAATTTTAAAGGTTAAACTTTAACATACCAGGAAAATAAATGACCAATTTTGACCCAAGGGCCATAATTTGAGCAATCTTAGTAGAGATCTACAAGATGATGTTTTATGCCAAATACTTAAGCTCTATCCATTGGGAAGCAGATGGTACTGTGAGCTGATTTAATATACTATACTGACTTATCGGCATATAGTGTTAATTTCAGCAGAATAAGTACACCATCTTGTTTGTTTTGGGTTTTACGTCACATCGACACAGAATAGGTCATATCGCGACGTTCCAGCTTTACTGGTGGAGGAAGACCTCAGGTGCCCTTCCGTGCATTATTTCAGGCACGAACGGGCTATACCATCTTGTAAGCCAATGAATAGTACTGTGAACCGAACACATATACTATCTTGAGAAAAAATTGATGGTCCTTTTTTAAAACAGGATTACTGTCATGTATGTGACTAGATCTTCCTGTGAGCTAAACAAGTAAATCATCATGTAATCATATAGATGATTCTGTGAACTTGTTCTTTATTTTATTACCTTCATGAAAGGGAGATAATCTTTCAATTTAGGCCCATCAAACATGGCTGCCATCGTGTGTGCTGGTGGGTGAGATACAGAAGGTATTTCTTGTACAATGTCAGAATTATCTACTGGTACTGCCTTTGGTACAGTTGGTTTCACAGGAGCAGGGGCTGAAACTAAAAATTAAAAAAACATTAATTACAATAATTCACCTTTAGAAAAGAACAAGATTGCATTTGTGAATTGTTGACTTTCCTATTCAAAGATATCCTGACATAATGATATTAATTTGGCAGTCCCCCTGAGAGTTAACTGTATATAGATTTAGAGAAAACCCATGACCTACCCCAAAATTTTGACCCCAGGACAATAACTTGAACAATCTTGATAAAAGTTCATAAGACAATAGTACTTGGCAAATATCTAAGCTATAGCTATTTTAGATTTGCAGGAGAATATTTTATGCAAAAATGAAAAAACTGTGACCCTGCGGCATGGCCTATTTTGACCCCAAGGCTATAATTTGACCAATGTAGGTAGATGTCTACTAGACAATGCTTCATGCTAAATATCTAAGGGTTAGCCTGTGTGGTTATAAAAAAAAAGATTTTCTAATTTTTTACTATACAGTAAAACTTGTGCTTAAGTATGAAGACATTCAATACTTTCAAATCACAGCAAAATCTGCTAAATTACAACATATTTGTCCTTCAAGGTCAAGGTCATTTATGAGTCACGGTAAAATTGATAACATATTATGTTATGAAAAAAACATTGATATTAAATTATTCACTCAGCTTTGACAATATTCTGAATATTAGAAGCATTTTCCAGGTACTAAATTTATGCTGCTTATCTTTATTTTTTAAGATATCTCTTATTTTTGCAAGACCAGGGATTTCTTTAAAACACTCCTAGACTGTTTTTGGTCATAAATAAAGGATTCATAAGTTAGGACCAATTTTCAGACTTTCTTTGAAACGCAAAATTGTCTCAATTTTAATCTTAGGACCAACTTAAGACTAAGTTATCTTAGGCTGACTTAAGATTTAGGACTCTCGATGAAACGCAGCCCAGAGCTGTCTTACCTTTTGGTTTATATTTATTGTACATTTTCTGTCTCTCGTCATGTTGGACTTTGCACACATTTCTACATCTGTTGAGCAGACGTCCAACATTTGTTTCTAGTTTCTTATAGAACTCCAATCCTTTTTGTGACTTAGCTTTCAAATCTTCATAAACATCATATGAATTTATTAAATCTCTGATTGTCTGTTCCCGTCTGAAAAAAAAAAACAAGCATATTTGATGAATCCATATCCTCCTCCATGCTATATCAATCATTTGTTTGGTCGTTTAACTGGGTTTTACGTCACACTGAAACAGTATAGGTATTATGTCGACTTTCTAGGTTTAATGGTGGAGGAAGACCTCGAGTGCCCTTCTATGCATCATTTCAGGCACCAACAGGCACCATTGTAAACCAAGTTGCTCCATAAGCTAGCTGGATAGCTTTCTCAAATGAAACTAGAAATGTGTCCATAGGACACGGATGCCCCCACACGCCACTGTTCTGTCAATATTATGACTCTAGGTCAAATATTTTTTGGACTACATGTGCCACAAGTTGAAAACTAAAAATCAACAAAGGGCCAAAATTCTGTTAAATTTGGTCGCAGCAAAAATTCCTTCCTTTATTACCATCTACACATTAAGGTTGTTAATCCCTGGAAGTTTAAGCAAAATCTGCCATCCGGTTTAAGAGGAGTTGCGTTCACAAAATTTCTACATAGTATACAATGAAAAAATCAAAAAAGGGCCATAATTCTGTTAAATTTGGTTGCAGCAAAAATTCCTTTCTTTACTACCATCTACACATTAAGGTTGTTCATCCCTGGAAGTTTAAGCAAAATCTGCTATCTGGTTTAAGAGGAGTTGCATTCACAAAATTTCTACATAGTATATAGTGAAAAAATCAACAAAGGGCCTGATTCTGTGATATTTGGTCGCAGCGAAAATTCCTTCCTTTACTACCATCTACACCTGAAGGTTGTTCATCCCTGTCAGTTTAAGCAAAATCTGCCATCCGGTTTAAGAGGAGTTGCGTTCACAAAATTTCTACATAGTATATAGTGAAAAAATCAACAAAGGGCCATAATTCTGTTAAATTTGGTCGCAGCAAAAATTCCTTCCTTTAATACCATCTACACATTAAGGTTGTTCATCCCTGTAAGTTAAAGCAAAATCTGCCATCCGGTTTAAGAGGAGTTGCATTCACAAAATTTCTACATAGTATATAGTGAAAAAATCAACAAAGGGCCATAATTCTGTTAAATTTGGTCGCAGCGAAAATTCCTTCCTTTACTACCATCAACACCTGAAGGTTGTTCATCCCTGGAAGTTTAAGCAAAATCTGCCATCCGGTTTAAGAGGAGTTGCGTTCACAAAATTTCTATATAGTATATAGTGAAACAAGAGCTGTCCGTAAGACAGCGCGCTCGACTTTTTTATTGCTTGCCAATAAAAAAAGTTTTTGCAGTAAAAGGCAATACAAGAATCTCTGTATTTTTAAAGTGAACTAGTTGTTTGATACCCTTGAATATTACAGCAATGTTTATATGACATAATTTATGGTAAAGTGAACAAGTGGATAGGAATGAATTTTTTTAGATTTTTTAAGTTTTTTAGTGCTTGCCTATAATACAAAACATTGACAGTTAAGGGCCATAATTCAAATAAAATCTTTGACAGAATTACCTTCTCCTGGACATGTTTGGGAATCATGATTGTAAACAAGTATTCCAACTTTCAAATTAATATCTCAAACAGTTCAGTCAAAAAGTGGACTGGTACTAAAAACTTAACCAAGATTCTAAGTCGATAAAAGGCCTTAATTTTTAAAACAAATCCTTGACAGAGTTACCTTCTCTTGCGTACAGATGGGGGTAATGATGTGAAATAGCATTAAAAGTTTCAAAGCAATATCTCAAAGGGTTAAGGCAATAAGTGGATTTTACCCATATTCAATGTATTTTCTAAGTCAAAAAGGGGCATAATTCTGTCAAAAACCTTGACAGAGTTATGTCCTCTTGTCTGTTGATGAAGGTCGTGATGGTAAACAAGTATGGTCAGTTTCAAAGCAATACCTCCAATGGTTTTGAAATAAAGTGAGGTGGTACAAAAAACTTAACCAAGCTCAATACACTTTCTAAGTCAAAAAAAAGGGCCATAATTCTGTCAAAAAACCTTGACAGAGTTATGTACTCTTGTCTGTAGATGGAGGTTATGATGGTGAACAAGTATGGTAAGTTTCAAAGCCATACTTGTAATACTTCTGAAATAAAGTGGGGTGGTACGAAAAACTTAACCAAGGTGTGACGCCAACGCCGACGCCAACGCCGACGCCGACGCCGGGGCGAGTAGGATAGCTCCCCTTTTCATAGAAAAGTCGAGCTAAAAATCAACAAAGGGCCATAATTCTGTTAAATTTGGTCGCAGCAAAAATTCCTTCCTTTACTACAATCTACACATTAAGGTTGTTCATCCCTGTAAGTTAAAGCAAAATCTGCCATCCGGTTTAAGAGGAGTTGCGTTCACAAAATTTCTACATAGTATCTAGTGAAAAAAATCAACAAAGGGCCATAATTCTGTTAAATTTTGTTGCAGCGAAAAAATTCCTTCCTTTACTACCATCTACACATTAAGGTTGTTCATCCCTGTAAGTTTAAGCAAAATCTGCCATCCGGTTTAAGAGGAGTTGCGTTCACAAGATTTCGGGACGTACGGACTGACGGACGGACGGACTGACGGACGGACGGACAAGTGCAACGCTATATGCTCCCACATTGTGGGGGCATAAAAATCCAAAGTGCTTATTGTGATTTGAACTCAGAGCGTAAGGGGTGCTTTATTTAATACATTTTCAAAATTTTCATGAAAATTAGCCTGATTCTGGACACTTGCTGCTTAAAGCAGTACCATTCAGGAAATCAAAGATTCAAGAATGATATCACTCCTGGGTAGAGCTAATTACTTACCTGGATATTGCTTCACTGGTAAGGCCCCCACGATTACACGTTTAAACGGATTCGTTTCGATTTTCATTCATAAACGTTTACGATATTGTTTACCGTTTAATCGAAATGACCATACAATTTCTTAATCATTGCCTGTAATCATGGATTTTATCAATTCTAGTGGTTTATTCCAAAGTAAACAAACGGAAAATAGGTGTTTACAACCCTCCACACAGCATTACGGTGCAAAATTGCTCGTGACATAATACATTTTTGGTAAAAAAGGGGGTTACAATGCAAAAAATGTGTGCTGACTCAATCGTGATGAGCCCTGCACATTCTTTATTTGTACATGTATAAAGAATAGAAAGAAATACATCATTTGGTGACTCAAATACATGGTGTGTATAGTACATAGAGGTACCACCGTTTAAACGGTATCGTTTCGGTTCTTAGCAATCGTGTAAACGTTTACAAAAAATTGTAAACGTGGGAGCCTTACTCACTGGTAGTCTTTCTAACTGTAGCATATTAAGCATATTCTTGAATTTATATCACAATTATTTAATTGAACCGAATATGCATATAATAAAACTTCTATTAACAGGAAAAAATAAGTATTTTTGTTCAAAAAAGTGACTTACCTGGATAAGGTCTCACTGGTAGCCTTCCTACTTGTAACATATTCTTGTATTTATACCACAAATATTCAATTGTACTAAATATGCTTGTAATTAAACTTCGATTAAAGGGAGGTAATAAATATATCAAAAAAATGACTTACCTGGATAAGGCCTCACTGGTAGCCTTCCTAACTGTAGCATATTTAGCATTAGCATCAGTCAGGGCTCTCAGTATGTTATTCTGAGCAGCAAGATTCTGTCTTATAACCCCAGATGTCTTATCATGCTTCTTAAGTTGTTCCGAAAATAAAACCTGTAATATACATTGATTATACATGTATTTCTTTGGAACATTAAATGCAAGTCTATATGACATTGTATCTATATAAATATATATCTCCACAATATATTACATGGCAAATATCAAAGCTCTTGGCATTGTAATTTCACACAAGAAGAATTAAGTGTGTTTTATAATGCAAGTCTATGTACACTAAGTGACACTAAGGACAGGGCCACTTTTTGGACTGACTGCCATCACAAAAGCTCAAGTGAACTAAAACAAATGTAACCAAAAGTATGGTGAAGAGCACCACAAAGGTTGGCCAATATACTTTTTTGGGGGATGGGGGGGGGGAATCGTATATAACCTTTCCTTTCAATCTTTCAATAAAAATATAAGCAACTTCATGAAATTTATCTCAAACATTGTTTATCTAAACTATACTTAAGATTTACAAGTAATAAGAAATTGTTATAAATCAAAAGTTTACAAACTTTAGCTTACTCCATCTTCAGTTTTAGATCAGATAAAGATCTTACACTTATTGCCACTGTAATTTTGACCCTTGACATCAGTCAATATTGGGTCATGTACTGGTCATGGGAAATACCAAACTCAAAAACCAAGCACATTTCTTAATCTTAAGTTACGAGGTATTGATTGGACAAAGTTTTCCATTGTTACTGTGACCTTGAACTTTTCCCTCAAAGTCAATAGGGGTCATCTACTGGACCAACCTCCCTACTACTTAGTATGAAGACGGTACACCTGATAGTTATCTAGTTACGATACTAACAGAAGGACAGACAGACAGACATACAAAGGTCATACTATAAAATGACTGAAGACATCTGAGCTTGTATGAAAATGTTTCTATAAAACAAATCTTTTATGAGGTGAAGAAAGTTTCTTTTTATTAGTTTAAGTCCAATGACCACTCCATAAACAATATATTTTTTCCCCCAATTACTTCACCATTGATATTTTTCTTCTTTACAGAGTACCCCTGTTATATCGTCCACTCCATAAACAATATAACTTTTTTATTCAATTACCTCTCAATTGACATTTTCTTCTTTACAGTGTACCCCTGTTATATCGTCCACTCCATAAACAATATAACTTTTTTATTCAATTACCTCTCAATTGACATTTTCTTCTTTACAGTGTACCCCTGTTATATCGTCCACTCCATAAACAATACAATTTTTTATTTAATTACCTTTCTATTGATATTTTCTTCTTTACAGAGTACCCCTGTTATATCGTCCACTCCATAAACAATACAATTTTTTATTTAATTACCTTTCTATTAATATTTTCTTCTTTACAGAGTACCCCTGTTATATCATCCACTCCATAAACAATATAACTATTTTATTCAATTACCTTTCTATTAATATTTTCTTCTTTACAGAGTACCCCTGTTATATCATCCACTCCATAAACAATATAACTTTTTTATCCATTTACCTCTATTAATATTTTCTCCTTTACAGAGTACCCCTGTTATATTGTCCACTCCATAAACAATACAATTTTTTTTATTCAATTACCTTTCTATTAATATTTTCTTCTTTACAGAGTACCCCTGTTATATCATCCACTCCATAAAGAATACATTTTTTTTTAATTACCTCTCTATTGATATTTTCTTCTTTACAGAGTACCCCTGTTATATCATCCACTCCATAAAGAATACAATTTTTTTTTAATTACCTCTCTATTGATATTTTCTTGTTTACAGAGTACCCCTGTTATATTTTCCACTCCTTAAACAATACAATTTTTTCCCCCAATTACCTCTCTATTGATATTTTCTTGTTTACAGAGTACCCCTGTTATATCATCCACTCCATAAACAATACAATTTTTTTTAATTACCTCTCTATTGATATTTTCTTGTTTACAGAGTACCCCTGTTATATCATCCACTCCATAAACAATTTTTTTTATTCAATTACCTCTCTATTAATATTTTCTTGTTTACAGAGTACCCCTGTACTATCATCCACTCCATAAACAATATAACCTTTTTTCCCCATTTACCTCTCTATTAATATTTTCTTCTTTACAGAGTACTCCTGTTTTATCATCCACTCCATAAACAATATAACTTTTTTATCCATTTACCTCTATTAATATTTTCTCTGTTACAGAGTACCCCTGTTATATTGTCCACTCCATAAACAATACAATTTTTAATTTAATTACCTCTCTATTGATATTTTCTTGTTTACAGAGTAACCCTGTTATATCATCCACTCCATAAACAATACAATTTTTCATTTAATTACCTCTCTATTGATATTTTCTTGTTTACAGAGTACCCCTGTTATATTGTCCACTCCATAAACAATACAATTTTTTATTTAATTACCTCTCTATTGATATTTTCTTGTTTACAGAGTACCCCTGTTATATTGTCCACTCCATAAACAATACATTTTTTTATTTAATTACCTCTCTATTGATATTTTCTTGTTTACAGAGTACCCCTGTTATATCATCTTCAAGGACTTCTTTCCTCAGCTGTTCCTCGAGGGTTTCTCTCTGATTCCTCATCTCATCAATCTTCGCCAGTAAATTGTTCAACTGTTTTATCACATCACTACTCTCTTGGTCTGTAACAATAACAATACAGTTGGAACAAATGCTTCTTGCACCCCATTTGGGTGAGGGATAAAAGGGTTTCAATTTTGTCAAGACTTATAAGAAGAGTTTTGTAACAATAATTCCTAGTTTTGAAGCATTACCATCAAGGGTATTCTATAATAGAAGGCCAAATTTAATGAAGACAACAACGTCAAACTAGAACATAAACATATGTCTCCCACGTATGTACTCTAAGAATGGAACAGTGGCATTTAAGTCCCACAAGCGCTTTGACCTGTGAAAGCAGGACAAGACTTTTCTATTTTCAGCTCTAGCGGCCATTTTGTGCTGTGAAGCGGAACATACTGGGAAACATAATTTTTAGAGACATAATGATGGTATGCCAATGATGCAAAAATCTCAGCACGAGCACCATGTGATCATGTGAGCTTATGAAATGTAAATAACTGTACTTCTGTCTATGAAGTGTCAAGTGTAAAAATTATAATACCTCTGTCTTTATCTACAGATGGCAACAGTTTCTGTAAATCCTCTAATGGACTACTGAGTAGTTTTAGATTATTTATATGAGTATTCATCGCTTTATGCAGGTCTGCATTTGACTGGCTTCCCTTTTTGTGACCTTCCTCCAACCTGGCACACTCTTGTGCTATATCTGATAGTATAGCATTGGGGTTTCTCTTTCCAAACATATCCTACACAAAAAATAAAAATAAGATAAAAAAAATTTATCAGTAAATGTGACTATCTAGTCACACTTGTTGTTTTGTCCAAGTATGAATCATTTCCATAAAAATATGACAAAATTCAGAAAATATAAGAAAAATTCAATCATTTGACCCAGTCAACATCATTTAAAGGTCAAGGTCATATCTAAATCGAATAAACATATTGTTGTCTAAATCGAACTATGCAGTAAGGATAGTTGTTGAGTATTTGTTTTGTATTAAGTCCTCCTCAAATACAGATGTGGTTATGCCTAAAGGTCTTTATACCCCAGGAATGACATTATTTTTATTTCTCCAAAGCTTTATATTTTTTATGTACACTGTACTTCTAAATTTTCTAAAGTTATTCATTGGCAAAATACCTTAACCATCCTTTTTTTCTGTTGCTTTTTAATACAGTTATAGTGATTTAGTATTTTGTACAGAAGTCAAAATACTACTTTTCTTACATTTTGCTAATTTAATGACAAATTATTTTACATTTAGCACTACTTTCTTCAGGAAATAAGCATCTAACATGCTCTAGAACCATTAATTTAACATTATAGAATTCATGTTTGCCCTTTCTAAAGAAGCAAAAATTATCTGTTTCTGAGGCAGAATGTGCCTTTAAAACAATTCCAGAGTAATAGCTGAACTAACCTGAAATTCTAACTCAGCTGTGCTTTCCTCCTGCAGTGTTTGTTGTATTTCTTTGATGCCACAATCTACTTCTGTGGCTACATTCGAAACAGCTGTAATAGAAATAAGTAGAGTTTTACACAATATCAATGCACTAGAATGACAAAGACTACACAAATATAACAAAAATAACATTATTATGTTTGGAGACCAACATACCTTTCAAAACAATATGAAAGAAGATTACAAACATTTGGTTAGTAAACACAATTCATGTCTGCAGGCCAGATTCTTGTCAGTAAAAAATATACCTGACCATTAACATTTGTTTTAGTTTTTTATTGTAGTAAAATAATTGTTTGAGATTCACAAAGTTGTTGGAAAATACTACCTGTCATTGAATCAACTAGCTCCTTTATTGCTGTAGGTCTTACACTGAGGGCGGCACATTTCTCTAGAAGCTGTTGGGGTAACCGTTCAGGCTCTGGGTTTAGTGATGTTTGATCCAGTTGTAAAGATGCCAGGTACTGACTATATAGATAAACAATTTGATTAACAATTTGATTAACAATAAGATTATCAAGAAGTTCTCAAAGCTTAAATCCAGGTCTCAGTTATTTGATTGGTCTGAAACTGCCATAGAATGTTCATTGACCAATGAAAATCGTGAGATTTGAGACAGAACTCAGAAAAAAGTTTTATAATCACAGAGCCTTTCCAAGGAGCAGCAGGCTTAACCTTTATCGGTGTTGGATAGTAAACTGCCAAATTTCTAAATAAATATATAATACAAATGTCACTCTGACCTTTAACCTTCTGACAAAATTGTTGACCTTTTGACAAAAATGAGTATGGCCGGTAGAACTCATCTAGGTGTGTCTACATACAAAATTTGAAGTTTCTCTGTCAATGAATTTTGATTGAATGGCCAGTTTAATGTTCAAAGTGACCTATAACCTTTTGACCTGAAATAGGTGCAGCAGGTAGAACTAATTATTGATTATGCATCTACATACAAAGATTGAAATTCCTAGGTTTTAATGGTTAGTTTAATGGTTTCATTCCACAGGTCCCAGAGATTTTGAAGATTGAAAATATCAGATAAGTGATGATTAACTGCACACCTATGTGTCCCATGGAAATATATTGTAATACATTCTACTTACTTGAGTTCCTCATTTTTTTCTTGAATCTCTGACACCAATCTCCTTAACAAAGTAGCTTTCTCCTCACTGTAAATGTAATACAAATCTCATGAAAACAAGAACGTAATTATCAATTTCTCCACAAGTGACTGGCTTCTAATCCCACAGGTTCTTAATAATTGGTGAGAGACAATGTATGACAACAATTACTAATGTGTAATTACCTTAATAAATAAAAAAGTTATAGTAAACAAGAACATGTTTGGTTTGGTTTAAACATATTTATTTAAGCTGGATTGCGAAACAAGTTCTTGCAACTTATATTAATCACTTTCGAGTCCGCTTCCTGGAACCAACCAGTACTGGTGTCATATGAAGAAACATTGTTGTGACCCAAGTAGGGCCTGAACCCATGATCTCCGGATTAAGAGACAGACACCTTAACCACTAGACCACCCCTTACATGTTTGGTAAACACAAATGCACCTGGCCCAGATTCTTGTCAGTCACAAATTTTCAAAAAAAGGTTCACTTGGTTATGGACAGGCAAAATGAAAAAAAACAAAACTGTTTACATAACTTGACAGAGTCATGACCTATTATTCTTGTGAAAAAATATTAGTTGAAATGTTATTCCTATTTGAAAAAGTGGGAAAATATTTAACTTACTAATAAAGGTTTATCAAATATACATGTATATGAATTCAAGACAACCATTATTGGTATCCAAAGGAAGAAAACCATGCAAGTTATCTCACTACTAAATATGAATGACATCTGTCAATAAATAAAGGCTGCATGAGCAAAAGTATAAAATTCTATTTTTAGCATTGGCAACCTGGACATAACTGACCCCTAACTCCATCCAAAGGTAGAGAAATTCTCAATTTATGTTCCTACCAAATACAAAAGACATCTATCAATAGATAAAGGTTACAGCTACAAAACTGTACAAATCTATTTTTGGGATTAGTGATCTTGATCTTGACCCAAATGACCCCAAAGGAAACCTGGGGGCTATAATAAAAATGTTTTACTACACAAAAGCCCTTTGAGCTGAAATCTACAACATAGCCAGTGTGAGTAGGACAGCTCACCATGAAAAATACCCTTAAAAATAGCCTTGTCTTTTAGAAATAGACATGGAAATTCATTTTTGGAAATAGACCAAGAATAATTATCTTGTTGAAAGGTGGTCTTTGTGTCACGGTTCTGAACTGTTCACTATTGAGGGAAGAAGATGGGTAAGTGGCCTCTTAGTTCAGTAGGTAGAGCTGCGAAACAGTATTCCCAAGGTCCTGTGTTGGAGTCCTGGTTAGGCTGCACACCTGGTTAGGCTTTTCTCATCCTGTGACATTTAGTAAAGCAGGTTTTTCTCATAATATCATCGTCAATAGGAAATTTAAATGCCAACATTCAGTTTTTTGAACATAATGTTCTGTATCAAGGTTTCTTCTGCTCCAGAATGAGAGTTAAGGTATATTTACCTGTAAAGAGAAGCAGCCTCATGTGCTGACATAGGTACAAGTTTATTGAAGATATCTGGGCCAGAAATTTCCGGATCATTTGGATTAAACGGTATACCCTTCACCAAGGAAGCACCTGAAAAAAATAAACAGAATCAAGTATCACAGAGCTGTCAAGTTAGCTCAACAGGTAGAGCATTGGAAGGTGAATCAAGCGTTCTGAATTCAATTCCCACCTTTGCCTGTCCTTTGCACTATATCTTTGCTCTGACATGTACAGAAGTTATCAGTTCCTTGTAAAAGTGGAGGCAACCAGTACTGGTAAACTGCTTGACAGCCTGTCTAGGAATGAGACTGTGGCTGATCTATGCTCTGGTAAATTCAATGTGGCTTACTGCCGTAATTCAGAGTGATAACTACCAACACCACCACAAATTATGACATAGATCTTTGCTAAACAAAACAAGTTGTTTACAATCAATTAAAATGTTTGACATTGATTTGTCTCCTCATTAAATCTTTTTGGTAGAATATATGTTTAAATTTATTATTACCTTAGAACAACAAATAAACCTAAATAAATGTAACTATTACAAGTCTTGGTGTAATTTGCTGAAGAAACACAAGAAAATCTCGATGCCCTCAGTATTTCATGTTTGTTGATGTATTTCAATGGCTAAGTGGCTAAGAGTTAAAGTGTTTAATTATTCTTATGACAAAGACATCTATTATTTTATAATGTATAGGGGAAGGTTCATATCAAGTCATTTGTTTGAAAGGAGATGTTGTCTAAGATATCATTGAAGATGAACATTGTCTGACAAAGGGGAATCACATTAACTCACTATGTGAAATTTGGTTCAATTCTACCATATGGTTTTAGTAGAAATGTTGTTTAAAGAAATTGTGTATATCAATGAACAATGATTGTCCAAAACATACAAAATGTACTCGGGTAAACTAAAAAATGTACCTTTGACTTCTGGTAGTGAATCTGTTGGGGGAACTTTATCATGATAAACAAAGTCATTGTCCTTCTTTGCCGACTGTTGTCTGAAAAATCAAGTATCATCTATTATATTATGAAGGACAGAATAAAAACCAGGGTCTTTAAATACGCATACTACATGTATATACATGTACCAAGTTTGACAACACAATATCTCATTCTTGACAGTTACTCTTGTTATTGTCTGGAAACTATTTTTCTATTGTTAGTAACAGTGACCTTGACCCCAGTTGACCCAAAAGCAACCCTAGCCTGGATTTCCACATAAAGTTGCTGTCACAGTGTAAGTGTCCCGATAGCTCAGTCAGTAGAGCTGCAGAACAGTATTCCGAGGGTCCAAGGTTTGAGTCCAGGGGACGGTCAGACTGCACATTTTTCTCACCCTGTGACATTTTGTTAAATTCATGCTGCTATGTACCCTGAGAAATTTGAGGTCAAATTAAATATGGTGGGGGAGTGTGTCATGTTTCAGTACTGTTTACTATTTAGGATAGAAGATGTGTAAGCTGCAGTACAGCTCAGTCGGTACAGATGCATAACAGTATTCCTAGGGTCCCTGGTTCAAGTTCCATCAGGCTGCAAATGTTTCACACCCCATGACACTGATATATACCAAGTTTGATTATAACTCTAGTTTTTGTCCAGAAACCATGCAGTGGAGATGACTGGCTTAGTGATTAACCCACAGACTGACCAACAAGCGGACTCCCATTTTTGCACACATTTTTCTGCCTTGAAAATATCCAAAATAACTTACTTTCCACCAACAACATCATGTGTAAATCTTAATGAATCTTGAATTTCAACACCTTCATTCTGAAAATATCAAAATAAAATCAAGAAATTAGATTATATGCTCTTAAAACAGGGATCGTTTCGGTGAATTTGTGTCAAAATCAAACAGGTAGTTTAGGAGAAAATGTTGCTTAAAGAAATTGTAGATAACTAGGGAAAATATAACATACGAAGGTCAATGTCATCATATCTGAGCATTCTATGTTGTGCTCAGAAGAGCTACCTACAAAAATGTTATACATAATCAAAACTAAAATTTAACAACTCTTGGATAGCTGACCTTTGCAAGTTTTTCACATTCTGTTAGTTTTTCTAGTGCTATTGTATAATAAGCCAGACACTGTCCATGTTTTTGTTGGTCCTCCGATTGTCTACCCATGTAATAATTAGTTATACATGTGTAAAACAGCATCTTTATATCTATCTTCTTCTTCCAGTCCTGAAATATACAACATTACCTACAACTTCGACACCAGTGAAAATTATGAAGACATTTAGCACAGATAGAACTTAAGATAAATCTAACTTGCCGCAGGTATACCTCATACAGAATGTTTTAACAAGACAGTACGGTCAGTACTACTCTATTGTTCTTTTTAGCCAAAGAAAGAAAAAAAGCCACATAAAAGCCTTATGGAATGAAATGACATCAAAGAGAAAGTATTGTTCCTTTAGCCACATAAGTATCCAAATTTAAGTTTGGGCAGATGGACAGACACAGCGCTCACGCTGTCGGTCGCCATAGTCGCCATTTGCGATTATTTTATAAGATTGGCGATTATTTTTGCATTTTGGCTACAAAATCTGACGATTATTTTTTACTTCCAACAGTGTTTATATAAGGTGTAAAAATCGATAATGTATGCAGTAGACCCAATTAACACCAGCGGGGTGCATTTAATTGAGTGTCAACTTTTTACCGGTCACGTGCTGCTAACTATATTGCCCGAGGTGATAAAATACATGCAAGATGTATAATTGTATAAGTACTTTAAAGATATTGTCCAGCATTTATAATAGCCATCAAATATCCGTCAATTAGCCACAAAAATCGTTTTAAAATTGATAAACTGGATATTGACTTACCCAAAATTTACCGTGAATTGCAGTAATTGCAAATTTTGATATATTTTTTGTTTTAAGCTACTTAACTAAATCGCCAGTGGTAAACAATGGTAAAATATTTAAAAAGTATAAACTTCCAAACAACTATTTGCACAACAACCAAAATTGTGAATATTTCTTCAGAAAACAGGAAAAATCCGATTGTCACATATTTTCGCGACACCGATAATTTTAATATTTTTTTAAAGGTAAAATAAGCTCTGTTCTGTTTAAAAATCTTTACTACTATGGCAGAAAATTTGTATTACATTGGTGATGATGATATTTTTCAGTAAATTATTCAGAAAAAAGGCTGCATTCTGTGAATGAGTTTGCAAACTTGTGTCATTTCTATAGGCTAATATGACCTAGATCTACTCCAGTTCTGTGTGAAATGTGGAAATTGACAGTGGTTATGATAAGCTGACAAAATTTGATTAGAACAAACAAAAACTGTTGTCTGATAACAGCATTATGTAAAGTTATAATGAATCTTTAATATTATTGTTGTACAGTAATTATACTAATTATAACGTTTTTTTTTGTTCTGTTCTGTAATAACAATTAAAGTTGTGGTTCTATTTAAAAAAAGGTAGTTATCAATATACACAAATGTGTCAGTTTATTTGAGAATCCTTATAAAACTGAAAAAGTTTTATATGTAATGTTTATTTAATCAACTGCTTATGTTGTTAATCGCTAAATCGTGAATAGTCCGCTGAACTTTTGGCTATTATTTTTTTAAGTTGAAAATATTGGCTATTATTTTATTTGAGCCAGTGTGAGCCCTGCAGACAGATGGTACAATAAATATTTTCCAAGGAGCATTAAAAGATTTTTCTCTGTTATTTTTTTGTTGGTTTTTTTTTCGGAAGAATTTTTTTTATTAATAGGGGGAAAATATATACTCTTTTGGGGAGGGGAATGGGGCTGACCTACAGCACAAATTTGGCCCAAAAAAACCCCTGTCTCTGCTTATGGTAGCCAGCATTTATACCTATAAAGAAAATTTCTTAAAGAAAATTTGCAGTACCTTTGACATATTTAAGACTAGAACCTGACCCTTGCGTCCCTCAAGTGCATGTCTTATCATTTCACATCTGCCTTATCAAAACAAACATACCTTATATCTTTTTGAACTGATAAGTTCCTGGCTATTACACACATCCAGATGTTTCATAGCTGTTTTATAAAACTCTACAATCTGAGCAGATACTTTTGCAGTTATTGTACTTTTTCTGCTATCAGTCATTGACTTCTCCAGTATACACTCTTGAGCTTGTGCCTGTACAAATAATCAGAAACAAGAGGGTCATGTGGGCCCTTAATCGCTCACCTGAGGAGGTGGTTCAAAATGAACAAGATTGCATTATTAAGACATTTGGTAGAAACGTCAATTTAACAAATTTCAGAGTGGAAAGGTTGGTGTATTAAAAGAATGAATTTGTTTAAATGATACCTTTCATATTATTATTACGTTACGGACACAGAGTATATTTACACCGAATAAAAGTTTTAAATGGAGAATAGAATTGAAAAAAAATATATTTTTAGCTCTTCTGGTGGCAATCTTGATCAGAAGTCCAGAACCATTCAAGCAATTTTTATTTAAGACCATCAAATGACCATTTCTGTATAGTTTCACCAAAATCAACCCAAAAGAGGAGACCTTTTTTCATAAAAGTTTTTCTATTTTTAACTCTGGAAACCAATTTGTTAGCAGACAGGAACCATGGAGCAATTGTTATAGATGACTATCCAAAGACCATTCCTATTAAATTTCATCAAAACCTACCTGACAGTCAAAGTATCTTATGACAAATGTAACAAATGTTAGTAATTTATAATGTATCTTATGACAGTAAATGCTTCTGTTTATGAGTAACCTAAATCTCATTGTTGCTATAATATTCGTGTATCTAAAATGCAGAATTTTAACTTTATACCAACCAGCATTAAATTAAGTTGAAAGGTCAAAAGTTCATGGGTCATGTCTAGACTCATTGCCGCACATCCAAAATGATCTCGTAAATATTCAAATGCCCAAGACGCACATTGAAAATGTGTGCATGATACCTTCATTCCCTGAAAATGAAATATATGAATATTACTATACAAGAGCACTGCAAAGGCGAGGCAATATACACCTAAAAATGTAAAATTGTTTGTGTTATCAAAAATAATCTTTCAATTAGAGTAGAGCCAATCAAGAAGCTTGTCAGAAAAATGGTTTATCTTAATTATCCTTATGACCTCCAAGGTGAAGGCATTTTACCTTTAGTTCATTTTATAGAAGTCTACTAGGCCATGCTATATATCAAATATAGAGGCATAATATTTATCCATGAAAAGATAAGACTGATATTCTTTTCTATACCCTAATTTAGTGTTTTCCTATACCTTAGTCAAGTTAAAGAAAGTGACTCCTTGGCCGGACCAATTTTGACCTGTTGGTCACATAGAAGTCTGGAAATGTCAATGCAAAACAAATTAATTATAATAAACGGCTTGTAATTAAAACATAAACAAATTTTGAGCAAAGCAAAATTTTTGCCCATTAAACTGATTGTCTGGTTATCTTGTCTTAATATATAGTATAATACACAATCTTACATCAGCACTCTGTCTTGTATCCATGGCTCCCAGTATTGAGTGAAGTGCTCCAATGTTATATAATACACATGCTTGCTCAAACTTGATGTCACTCAATGACATTTCTCGACCAGAAAATACTTCTTCCCTAGAAAAAAAACATGATATTGTAAAGATGCGACAAGAAAATCATTGATACAAATAGTGGCAAAGTAAAATGATGAACAAATCTTGGGCCTTAAAGTGTTAGAAGAATTTTTAAACATATAAATTATGTTGTTTAGGTAATAAAGCTTGAAACTAAATCCCCTTTTTAAGCAGAATATATTGGTTTCTGTATAACTAAGTTCCCTCTTCTCTTGTACTTGTAATAAAGTAAACCCTGCGAATAGTTACCCCGGGGGTATGGTGTAAACAAATTAACACATACAATGTTTACTCTTAATTGGAATGTTGTACAATTTCGAGAATTCAGGAAACAAATTCAACATATTTCAATTTATTTAATTGTCTCACAATATAAACAATAGAAAATTAAACACAATGGCCCAGTTGTTCATAACTTTTGTTAAGTTTAACAACAAATTAACTTAACAGTTGTTAAATTTTAATATTTTCGTTAGCTAACGAAATGCCAAAAATTGAGTTGTTCAGAGCTGTGTTAAATTTTATGTTAGTTAACAAGGCGTTAAAGTGCTTAACATTTTGTTACCTAATTAACAAGAAAAATTAATCCCACAATGCAGTATGTTACTTTCCTCCACAAAAAACAAAATGGCTGACAACTCTCCACTTCAATAAGAAATACTTAGAAAATCAGCTGATGTACATTGTCTGCAAAATACAGCTCAGTCATAGACTAATTAAAAATCATGAAATATGATAAGTGTTTTAAGGATTTTTTGTGATTAAAGTGTCTATCTCCTCAATCATAGATCATAGGCCAACAGTTTCAACATGACTTCAGCCACCCACATAGTTCCCGTAATTTATTGTATTGCTTGCTCCATCACCAAAAATATCTTAAGTATCATGGAAATTATCAAGCATTTTAAAAATAGCACCTGACTTACCAAGTAAAGGGAATAGATGCTTCTCCACCTTCTAACATTGGAAATCTTCCCTGTAAAAACTGCAACTGTGAATAGTATTTCTTGAGCGTGCTGCAGCCCATGAAGTCATGTGACACATGCACAGCACTCTAAAAATAGAAATGACTCATTGAAATGTCATGACTGCTGTCAGAGGTGATAGTTCACTTGACTTGTGAACGAACAATCAAATATTTGGATATTCTAAAACAAGAGGGCCATGATGGCCCTGAGGTCGCTCACCTGTATATAGACCCCCGAAGCGGGGCCAGTTTAAACCCCAGGGCCTTTAATTTGAATAAACTTGTAATTAAGACACCCATTAGACAATGTTTCATGATGTTAAGTTTTTGCTATACACAAAAAACAATGACCTCCCCCCCCCCCTGGCAGAGTAAATTTTAACCCAAGGGCTTTTATTTGAACAAACTTGGTAGACACCCATAAGAAGATGTTTCATGCTTAACATCTAATACTAGCTCATTGGGTTTTTTAAAAGAAGATTTTTAAGTTTTTACTATACACATATAGTTAAAAACAATGACACCCCTGGGGCGGGGCCAGTTTTAACCCAAGGGCTTTTATTTGAACAAACTTTGTAGACACTTATTAGAAGATGTTTCATGCTTAATATCTAACTCTAGCTATTTGGGTTTTCTCAAAGAAGATTCTTTAAGTTTTTGCTATACACATTTAAGGAAATCTATGACCCCCGGGGCAGGGCCAATTTTGACCCTAAGGCTTTAATTTGAACAAACTTTGTAGACACTCACTAGAAGATGTTTCATGCTTAATATCTTAACTCTAGCTATTTGGGATTTTTCATAGAGGTTTTTTTAAGTTTTTTCTATACACATAAAAAAAAGGAAAATCAATGACCCCGGGGCAGGGCTAATTTTGACCCCAGGGCTTTTATTTGAACAAACGTAGTAGACACCCATTAGAACATGTTTCATGCTGAATATCTTAGCTCTAGCTCTTTGAGTTCTTTAAAAGAAGATTTTTTAAGTTTTTACTATATGCATATAGGGAAAATCAATGACCCCACTGGTGCGGGGCCAATTTTGACCCCAGGGCTTTTATTTGAACAAACTTGGTAGACACTCACTAGAAGATGTTTCATGCTAAATATCTTAGCTCTTTAAGTTCGTTAAAAGAAGATTTTTTAAGTTTTAATTTTATGCATTTAGGGAAAATCAATGACCCCCTGGGGCGGGGCCAATTTTGACCCAAGGGCTTTTATTTGAACAAACTTGGTAGACACTCATTAGAAAATGTTTCATGCTAAATATCTAAGCTCTAGCTCTTTGGGTTCTTTAAAAGAAGACTTTTTTAAGTTTTTATTATATGCATATAGGGAAAATCAATGACCCCCCCCTGGGGCGGGCCAATTTTGACCCAAGGGCTTTTATTTGAACAAACTTGGTAGACACTCATTAGAAGATGTTTCATGCCAAATATCGAAGCTCTAGCTCTTTGGGTTCTTTAAAAGAAGATTTTTTAAGTTTTTACTATATGCATACAGGGAAAATCAATGACCCCCTGGGGCAGGGCTAATTTTGACCCCAGGGCTTTTATTTGAACAAACTTGGTAGACACTCATTAGCAAATGTTTCATGCTAAATATCTAAGCTCTAGCTCTTTGGGTTCTTTAAAAGAAGATTTTTTAAGTTTTTACTATATGCATATAGGGAAAATCAATGACCCCCCTGGGGCGGGGCCAATATTGACCCCAGGGCTTTTATTTGAACAATCTTGGTAGACACTCATTAGAAGATGTGTCATGCCAAATATCTAAGCTCTAGCTCTTTGGGTTCTTTAAAAGAAGATATTTAAAGTTTTTTCTTTCGGTTGCCATGGCAACCAGAGTTCTGCATGGAATTAAATTCTTTGAACAATTTTTAAAGGTGACCACCAAAGGAACATTCCTGTGAAGGTGACCACCAAAGGAACATTCCTGTGAAGTTTGGATGAAAAGCGATTACAAAAGCTCACCCTGTCACTTTGTGACAGGTGAGCTAAAAACAGCCAAATATTCAAATAGGAAATTCTTACTCAAATTTTCATTTCAAAAAGAATCTTTTTGAAAATTCTTTTTCATTAAACTTGAAGATTTGGCACAGGGTCTACTTTCAAATCCAGTTAAAAAACCTTGATCTGTGCATAATAATCCTGCAAAATTAAAAGGTTATTGATAAAGGACATTGATAGAAGTTAATAGTTTATAGAGACTGTAAATGAAATATTGTACTAGTTTTTGTTATTTCTAATGGTTATTTGAGTAAAGTTACTATTTTCAAAAATGTCTCATCGTTTGTCCGGATAAACACAATGTTAACACTCCAAAATCCTTTAATAGAAACACCTTATTCGTTACAAAATTATTTAGAATTAACCCAAATAATATTCTCTAACAAATATGTTTGAAAATATCTTATATATCCATGATTTAAGATTAATATATGCAGTACAAATTAACACCTATCTGAGTTTCATAGCGTACATATATGTACATACCACTTAGCCATATCCTAATCACCTAGCAGGGCCATGCTAGACCTTTTCTCTTTTCTAAAGTCAAACACATTAGAGGAAGAAGAGTATAGGAAAGAGTACTCCCAGAAAACATAATTCTCTTGTAAAAATGAAATTCAAATTTTATATTTGACCATAACAGTCAAGGTCATCCAAAGGCCAAGGTCACATTTGAATGATTATCATGCCAATTTTCTTTTAAGCGTTCTTTTGTCCAAGTATAAGTCATATCCATAAATAAATGACAATTTAAGTACACTTCAATAATTTGACCTTAACAGTCAAGGTTAATGAAAGATCAACGTCAAATCAGAATGATTTTACATGTCATTTTTTTGTCATTTAAATGAATTGTATTCTTTCGACAAAATGTACATAAATTTCGAAGTTATGACAATTAAAGCAAATTTCAATAATTCTACCTTGTCTGTCAAGGACAAATAAAGGTCATACCAGAATAATTAAACATGTCCATTGAGTCATATGTTTTCTTTTTAATCAAATCCATAAAAAGTGGTGACAACTTAAGCAAATTTCAATAATTTTACCGTCAAGGTCATTGATTGGTGAAGGTCAGAATCAATTTAATATATTTGTCCAAGTATGAAGACAATCCATAAATAAATAACAAAGTTATAGCCAGTTAGAGCAAAATTCATACATTTACTCTTCAAGGTCAACGTAATGAGTCAAGGTCAAGTTCAATCTAGTCTACTTAAAGGTCTTACCCAAAGAGTTATTGTGTCTCAGTATGAATACAATACATTACTAAGACATATAAAAGGGGGTGTTTAAGTTTTCAGATGGCAACAGGAACAAACAACCTTCTTTCTTTAATGTTTTGTAAGTGAAATTGATACAAGACATACTGATAATTTAATAATTGATTTAATCTTGATTTTATCTTCTTACCTGTCGCAATTGTTCCAGTTCATTGCAGCTTTTGTTATAATGTGCCGGATCTTCACCATAATGATCTCTTATATACTGTACAACAGAAGAAAAAAATCATATTAATAATGAAAGTTTCTGATATTATCTTAGAAATAATGTATCCCACACAGTGATTTTATCCCTCAATATAATAAAATCACTATTCGGATGCAAGGAATTATATAACAAGGGTGTAGCCTTGCATCGAATGACAACGTGATTTTTTATCACCGATTTGGATACATTATTTTGATTCTTAAGCGACATCAACAAATAAATGCTACCGTACCTGATATTAAGCTAAATAATAAATTGCTCCTGTTTGTTTCTGTACTTATTTTCAGCTCGTCCCATTTTTAGCGGTTACATCACATGTATAATGATTATGTTACATGTTTAAATATAGAATGTCAACAAACATAAATAGAATTATAACTTATTTAATCTTACAGTGACAGGTGTTTAAACATAATATAATTTTCTATGTAGAATACAATGTTTATAAAGAAAACAGTAAGCCATAAATTAATTAGGAATATATAATGAGAATCAAGATCTGTCGTGAACAGACAATTTATGCCCCAGAAACTTAGGGCAAGAACTTGTTTTTCTTTCAAGTAAAGAGTAACCATGACCTTAGGGCTACAAGTCTAGTTTTTGCATGAAACAAACATATATCGTATGTATCAATCCATGAAGACCAGAATGATGTGTTATTATAAGTTATTATAAAATCCATCCAGGATTGACAGATTTGTTGACTTGACAAAATCATCAATGCAAAATTGCACTTCTACGAAAAATGAATATCACAACTTTGGATGTAGACACGTGATCTTGACCACATAATAACATTCAGATATGATTATGAAATCAACAAAAGCACCACGGCGCAATATACGCCCAAATACATATTTGTTTTAAGTAATGATAAGTATAATCAAAATTTAAAGTAATCATGAATAAATTGTAAATTAGAGAGGAGACCCATTTATTACACTTAGTTTTATTTTGTTAGTTTTTTAGCCCTGGTGCATTCATGAACATGATCAAGCATCATGGATACAAACTAATTAGAGACCCTTTACAACCTAATGATTTCATTAAACCATTGATATTTATTAATGACTTTAGAATTACCAATCAGACAGTACTTAGAAACATACCAACGCTATCTGATGTAATGATATTTGATTGACAGCTTATCATGTATGTCTATTCAGCTATTTAAGTGGAATAAATATTTGTGTATTTTCTAAGCGCTATATGAATTTATGCAGGGTTCGACACTAACTTTTCAGGAATCCCCAACGGGACGTGTGGGAATCAGAAGTCCCTTGCTTGAAACAGGAAGTCCCTTTAATTATGTTCGAAAATCCAAGGTAAAATTGTTTCAATATTAAAATCGACAAAGATATATCTATAAAAAAGGAATATTTCTTTGACATAAAAAAATAGAAATGAAGTGATGTCACCATGGAAAATACTAAGATTACTTAATTTGTGCAATGTCATTGAGAAAAATGAGACAATTTTAACTTCAAAATCATTGTGTGGCACTACTATTTGGTAATGCTTTAGAAAATTAGGCAAAAAGACATGCAAAAATAAATCCATGGAAAGTTCAAGTAACCATTAAACAATACCAGCGATTCATAATGTTTATCTACTGAAATATAGTTGAATACCTTGTTAAAATGATGTCCCGATAACATGTGACAAACGAGCAGGCATACATGATTTTCTGTTTTATTGTTTACAAAAAATAATCAAAACACATAATCCAAATTCATAAGTCCAAATTTAAGTAACCTTTAAAATACCTTTTTGTGTTTGCATTCAGCCTTTATCTTGAATTGTCTGATGATTTTGTTATAAAAATAGATCTACAGGTCCCAATTTTTCAGCCGAGGATACTGTACGCAAGTCAGGGAAAATTTCAATTTTGACTGCAGTGGAGTTGATAAATGAGTTGAAATTGTTAACTTTTATTGCTTTTTCCATGACAACTCTAACGAAATATGCAAAGTATTTTTTTCTGGTTAGAAAGTTGCTGTTTAGTGTTTTTTGTTGTTGTTTTTTTTTTTTTCATCATTTTTTTGGACCTCAAACTGTTGCCCAAGAGTTTTCTTTGTCTAGGTGTGTTTTTCTCACTAGTAATGCAATCTAAAAAATTTCCACATTACTTATGAATTGACTTGGATCAATTGAAAAAAATGCAGATGAAAATATTGATTATCAAACACAGTTATGGTACGGTATGACGTAGATTAAATTGACGCTTCTCATTTTATCAACAACCAATTTCGATTTATCGAATGTCATCAATGTGTGTTGATTTAGTAACTAATTTGTCGCACATCGATACATATCGCTTATTGTGATGTTTTTCTTCTTAAAATCAAAA